AGATACATATTGCACCCCTGGGGCTTTCCCTTAAGTATATGGGAAGGATTTTTTGTTCAGTGCCTAATGCTTTCCAATGCTCCAATTTCACTGTGTGCCATTATCAAGCAAAAGATTAATGGTAGATTGTCTTTTGTGGGCAGCCACATATTTTGCCGTTCTTGTATTTGTTTATTCATTCAACAAACATTTACTGAGAACTTTAATGGGTACTGGGGTTTGTGGTAGGCAGTGGTATTAGGAGAATAAATAAGACAGTGTCTGATCTCAAAATACTAACAGTCTAGAAGAGGTAGGCAGAAAAGACACCAAAACATTGCAACTTAAGGGCTGTCATAGTTATCTTTATGGAAGGCAATATCATTGCATGCAGAAGGGATGACATAAGAAATTAGTCTGCATGGGTGTTGCAATACACAGATCATTAATTTCACTATTGATAAGATGAAATGCTTGTAGTGAAATACATGCCCCTTCACTCATTCAGTAAATGTATAGTGAGTGCCTATTCCTAGTGTGGCACTTTGGGATCAAGCACTGGACCACAAGGTCAGCGGTTCAAACTCACCAGCTGCTCCTTGGAAACTCTATTGTTGTTAAGTGCAGTCAAGTTAGTTCCGAGCCATGGCGACCCTGTATAGGGTTTTCCGAGGAGCAGCTGGTGAGCTTGAACCACCAACCTTGTGGTTCAAACCAACTTTTCAGTCCAGCTCATTTGCCCACAGTGCCACACCAGCACTTTACCCACAGCGCCACAGCAGAAACCCTATACGGTCACTATAAGTTGTTATCCACTCAAGGACGCTAAACAAACAACGAGTATATGGCAGACACTGCGATGTGTCTCCACCATGGTGACCATGGGTTAGAAAGGGAGTCAGGCATTAATTCATTTAGTGCACAAATCAGATGAAAAAGACAACAAAGGTGTGAGTTACATGGTTTCAAGAAACTTTTAATAGATGTATTTCCCTAACATAGGGGGCCTCCTTGGGAATGAGCTGAGATGAGAACATGAAGGAAAAGAACTAAAAATAAGATAAAACAACAGAGAAAAACTTGTGAATGCCAAGGATCAAGATTCTAACAGCGGCTGTACCATGAAGACCCTTGGTAGAATTCCGTTTCCGGACCTAGAGAATTAAAGGACGTTAAAGAGATAAGTGTGCCTGACCCAAGCCAGAGTACTTTTAATTGCCTTATACGGATGTGGTAGCTGGACAGTGAATAATGAACATCAAAATCTCCTTGAAGCTCTTTGCGCTTTGGTGTTGGTTAAGGTATTGAGCGTACTGTGGACTGTCAGAAGAATGAACAAGTCTATGTTGGAAGTACAGCCAGAATGTTCCTTAGAGGTGAAGATGGTGAGACTTGGCTCCCTGTACTTTGGACATATTATCAGGCATGACCATTCCAGTGAGAAGGGCACCATGCTTGGTGAAGTACAGGGCCAGCAAAAAGAAGGAAGACCCTCAGTGGCATGGGTTAACACCATGGCTGTACCTAGGAGCTCTCAAACATGGCATTGCTCTATGAATGGTGCAGGGCCGGGTGGTGTTTCATTCTGGTGTGTTCTGGTGTATGGTCACTATGAGTCATAACCAACTCAACAGCACCTAACAACAATCACAACAACAAAGGGATGGCAGTGGAAGAAAATAGCTAACTACAGATCCAGGTCCCAAACAACAATTTAACAATTTACACCTTTCGTCTGACTGTAATTTTCAGTAAGCAACCCCTGGGACTCTCAGAATTTTCCTAGCATGAGTAACACATTATATTAAATCCCTGAAGAGTCTCTGAGGAACCCTGGTGGCACAGCATTTAAATGCTTAGCTGCTAAGTAAAAGGTCAGCAGTTCTAGCCCACCTAGCAACTCCTAAGGAGAAATGTGTAGTAATCCGCTTCTATAATATTATAGCCTTGGAATACTATGGGACATTTTTACTCTGCCTTAAAGGAGCTCTGGTAGCTGGTAGC